CAGTTACCTAGTACTTGACTTCTACCTATCTGTACTTTATTTTTATTGAAATTTATATATTTCAAACAAAAATGCTAAAAAAAACACAAACACTTAGCTTGGGATACCTTACAAAAAGTTTGTAATTATTTGTAGGAAACATCTATCTTGACTTATAAACAAACGAAACAAACTTGCAAGCACATGTCCCGCAGAAACGCTTGACTTACTTTAATACCTACCTACTTGACTTACTTTAACACCTACCTACTTACCTACTTGACTTACTTTAATACCTACCTACTTACCTACTTGACTTACTTTAATACTTACCTACTTACCTACTTGACTTACTTTAATACTTACCTACTGACCTACTTGACTTACTTTAATACCTACCTACTTACCTACTTGACTTACTTTAATACCTACCTTCCTCCATAATTGACTATAACCACCTACTAACCTTTATATTACTAAGTTATGCTAAAAGTATTCGACAACTATTTTTCAACTATTTTTAGTGATCATCAGGTATCATTGTATATCAAGTCAGAATTTATACAAGAAATTCAAACAAGGTACAGTCATTGTCTTCTAAATGTTTGTCCATCAATGTTTGCTTTCATTTTTGYGGCTAGTGCCTTATAATTGAAGAGGCAGCTGTAAAAATGGCCAAAGTGACTTTTTAGGGTATTTTTGAAAKAAAATCAATTCAATCACATACTTTCAGTCTAAATAATCTTATTTTAATTAGTACTTATTTCTCTCTCTTAAACGACCCATAGTTATGGACTACTTTTGCTTGACAACTGATCAATTGACAGTAAAATCTTCTGGATATGCATATTTAAGATAAACTCTTCAAAAACTTTTTGAATTCTCCTTGAATWTATTTAACAGACATCAACAAGTAGGGTATACGTTTTTAACTCTAAGTCAATAACCTGTTTTCCCYCGAATCCAATCATGGGCAATTGTTTACAATCAGGTAGTTAACAAACAAAGTTGTGCCTGTGGTTGTTATTTATTGTCCTCACTCAAAAGTTATGARGGACTCATTGACAAAGTTAATTTTTTGTTTGTTTTGGAACTTAATAATATATGACAACGACACAAATTTTGAGCCAAATGTGTTCAAGAGAACTTCTTTATGAAGAAGACAAAACCAAATTTTCAATAGTTTTATG